GGCCAACAAGGAGAAGGAGCCATGAAAACAAGGGATTGCTAAACCAATCTAATTGTTTGGTGGGTTGAAATCTTGAAAATAGATCATTACAAAGTTTTTTGAGAGTGTTAACATCGGTTTCAACAACATTTGATTCATTTACAAAGAAACAGCATTGCTTTCCCAATACCACACACGTCCCCCCATGTTCAGCAGTTGTTAAGTCCAGTGCTCTTTTGTTTTGGAGCACAACCCTGGTGAGAGAGTTCATTTGTCGTTAGAGAGATTCCAGGCTGTCAGTCGTGGATGTCATTGCCTGGTCCAGCTTGTCTCGAAAATCTCCCGCCAGGTGCTGGGCTTGCACAATTGTCGCCATAGCAACGCCTCCAGGACCCAGGGAGAGTGCAAGTCCAATCCCTACCAGTAAAGGGATGAAGATTTCTTTCCGTTGGTGGCTGTGTAGGAGGAAGGCGGTTTCTTCCTTCTCGAGTAGGTACACCTGGGGTGTAATCATTACAGGTATACAAAAGGTGGACAAAGAGAAGTTAACAGTTTTGGGCTTTTCCTTTGCACCATATGAAAAGGGGGGGTCACATGCTGTACTGGAGAGAGTATTGTTAGTGAGGCATTTGTAATGAGTAGGCTTACTCTTGCTGGAAATGCAAATTGAATAGTTAGCCAGTTGTTTGAATAAGGGGATATCCATTAGATGAGAGTCAGTGAAATCTTTTTTTGTTCCTGGGTAGAGAAGGGTGGTATTAACTGGTCCTATTGCTGGATGTACAAAAGAAGCAGTTAGTCATTGGGATAGGTGGTGAAGGGAAGAAAGTTAGCAACATACTGAATGTACTTGTTTCAGGACATAGTTGATCTTATCTGGTCCTCTGTCTTTCCTGTAGAATAATATGAGTTAGCACAGACTTGGCTGCAGGTGCAAGCTGTCGAGAGATATAAAAGTCAGCTGTAGGGTACCTAGAGAATGCACCTGAATAGAATTTTTTTATTACTCCAATAGAAAAAAAAATGGCTTTTAAATATTTTTTGTTTGTTTGTT